AGCTAGAGGCTTTTCTTCACTCAGACAGCTGCTGGCTGCTGAGGCTGACAAGCCCAAAGTTGACAAGTAAAAGGCACAGTGGTTAAGGCATTTGGCTCTTCCTGCCTTCTTGGCTGGCCTGCTGGACAAGTTCTGCTCACCTGTTTTTTTCCCCTCTACACCCTTCCAGGTGGGCTCCCAGTGCCATCGGTCTCATGTGGCTAACCCTTCTGCTTCAAACAATGCTGCAGCTGACCCAACTCCACACACAAGGCCTGGCACAAACCAGTTCATTCCCGGGAGTTTTCAACTGAAAACATTCCCTAGGCTCCATCTTACTGATTATCTGGTGATAATCCAAACGACCTCTTTAAAGTGTTGAAAAGTAAACATGTCACTTTGAGAACAAAGGTGCACGTGACCCAAGCCATGCCATTTTCAACTGCCTACACGCATGTGAAAGCGGGGAAATAAGAAGACTAAAGAACTGATCCCTTTGAATTACAGTGTTGGTGAAGAATGCGGACATACCCCGGGCTGCCGGAAGAATGAACACATCTGTCTCGGGAGAACAGCCAGAATGCTCCTTGGCAGAGAGGACGGGGACTCTGTCTCACGTACTTGGCCACGTTATCTGGGGGACCAGTCCCTAGAGAAGGGTATCATGCTTGGCAGAGGGTCAGTGAAAAAGAGGGAGAACTCAAAGAGAAGAACGGACACAGTGGCCGCAATGAGGGGCTCAGACACAGCGATGATTGTGAGCATGGGGCAGGACCGGGCAGTGTTTCGTTCTGTTGCAAACGGGGTCACTATGAGTCAGAACCTGACACCCCAACGGGGTTGGCCCCGCTTCCCACTCACGTGCCAACACTCTACCCAAACATCCTGTCCTCCCGAGCAGAACCAGCCCGTCACCGCACGGCTCCCACGTGTCTCCCAGCAGCACTCGTCACCCTACCCCACAACTCTTCTCATCCAAAGCCTGAGAGCTCTGCCTTATCAGTGGCTGTAGACATGGGGACCAGCCACGGAGCTTGGAAAACGGTTGCTGGCTGCTGTCAAGGCAGCCCTCAGCTCGCTGCAACGCTGTGCACAACGGGGGGCGGGGCTGTTACTCGCTGCAGGCTTTCCGCTGGCTGACTTCCGACACAGCCTCCAGTGATGGACGGGTGGTGGCTGTGGCTGAGCTGACTGGCTAGGAACCGAGCTCGGGTCTCCTGGTGGAAGGTGGGGACTTTACCACTGAGCCATCACTAACCTCCTTGGAAAATAGTGGTAACAGAAACACTGTCCCGTCTTCTGCTGGAACTTCAGGCCACCTGTATCACGGGTTCTCATGCCCACGGCTGCCTGGCCCAGTTCTGCACCCTCCAGACAGGGGCATGGTGCCCTGAAAGGCCCTAGCATCAGTCTGCCTCACTCTCCCATCCACTGTGCACCCGCTGTGGTCCAGGTGCCAGCATCTCTCCCCTGCTCACTTGGCTGTCCTCACTCTCAGCTGTCTGGCCAGACCCCTAGACTGCCTGGACAAAGCCAGGATTGCCTGTATACCCCATCTTTGGGTGGCGTGCTGAGGAGTTACCGAAGGGAAGAGAGAGGAGAGGGGGTACTGGATGTCGGGGACAGACTCCCAAGCAGTACTCAGGACCCACCTCAGAAGCCTGCCTCTGCCCTGGACTTCTAGTCACCCGCTCACTAGTGCTACTCATGCTGTCACATTCCGGTCACCGGCCACCTCTCCCAGCCTCACCTCTGTTTCCACAACATGTGAAATCTGCCAGATCCCAGCCCCATCCGCTTAGCACAGACCCACTGCTGCTGAGCACAGCTGGCCCAAGACCAGCACATTCCCACCAGTGTGAGTTACAGAAAATTCCAGGCCATACCAAAGGCAAGCCTCCCCTTAGCAAGGCCTCCAGCCCACTCCCAGCAACACCGCTGGGCTCACCCGTCCAGGTTGAGGGCCAGGACTGGCTGCATCATGAGCCTGGTGCCACACCCTTGTCGCGGCTGCCACTAGTCAGCTGGGTGAGCCCACAGGCAGAGTCCCTGCTTCACCTGTGCAGGAAGCTGTGCACTCCAGCAACGCCTAGAACAGCAGGCTCTTCTCTGTAGAAATCCACAGCACCCAGCTGAAAATCACACAACAGAACCGCGGCAGAACGATCGTCTCCCCAAGTTATCAGAAAACGGCACTCCTTTCAAATCATCCAGTCCAGTGAGCCACTTAACAACCTCCCTCCGAACTCTCCGGCTTAGGGAAGGCCTGTGAGCCTTTTCTGCCACAGAGACCTGCCCTCATTCCTGTCGGTCCCTCAGAGTGCAGCAAAGGCCACCTTTTATTTACATGAACCGGTGGACAGACAGGCTCTGGACTTACACTTTAGAAATTGAAGGAGGAAAACAAAGTCACAGGCTGGAAGCTCTAAAAGTCATTGTTTATTGCACCAAGATCTAGGCAGCAGCGGCAGCCTAGCCCCTCTCATGGAGACTCAGCCGCAAGACACCGGCCCCTACACACACCCAGTGCGCCACACGCCCAGCTCGGGGGCCGTGGTGTGCCCTGGAGGCCAGGCTGGAACACCAGGTGGATGGGTGGTGCCTCACTCGTGCACGGAACGACGTGGGACCATCGGGGAGGCAGCATGTCCCACACAGACTGCTGCTCCCCTCCGGCTCAGCTCCTCCGGAGAGTTAAACTGACCCCTCCTTCTACGCCGGCCCGACAGCTGCTACAAAGGCTCTGCCGATTTACATCTGTGTTTCCATCTGTACACGTCGCCCGCAACGCAGCTGATTTTCTGGGCCATCCTCTCCCGTCCCAGTTGGGCTAGGACTGCCTGTGAAAGCAGAGGCCAGCCTCCAGCTGACGGCGATGACCCGCTGCAGACTGGCCGGGGGGCCCTGCCCCCGCGCCAACAGCATGTTCTCCTCAGGAAAGGGTTCCCAGGATGCAGTGGGGTGAGGAGGACAGGAGGGAAAGGCACAGAGGAGATAAACTCTGTGCTGGCGGACAACTCCGTCTTTCGTTTTCCACCATGGAACGAGATGAAGATAAAGGCAGGGGACCAGCTCACACAGGAACGAACGTTGACCCTCAAGAGGGAGGACTCCCCCACGGAGGTACCCGCTCCCGCTCCGCCACGAGGACGTACAGCTGGGCCCTCACATTTACTAGGGTGAGTGGACCCTGGGGACCAGCCCTGGGCACACGCACAGGCTCTGACCAGTCCTACAAGGCCACTCCCGTCCTGCAGGGACAGGAAGCACCCAGCCCAGGGTCCAGGTATCATCGCCCCCCGCCCTTCCCAAAGAGAAACAGAAAACAAGAACGGAAAGATGACCATCAGCCCCCCACCCAAGCCATACCACTGGGATCAGCAGAGACCCCTGAGGTGGCACAGTAGCAAGGAGGAGGAGCTGGAAGGAGCGGCACCCGCACCAGATAAAGGTTCCCCAGGTGGCCCACTGACAAGAACGCTCTAAAACACGGTCCAAGTCCTGAGTCAGTTCCATCCTGGTGTGTGGCAGCCCCCAAGGAGGAGCGGGGGACATCCCCTATGGGTGTCATGTCCACGTTTTCCTCTCTACTTTCCACAGGGGTCATTTGTTTTTTTTCCTAAAAATATTACTGAGAATTTCCTGTATTTATTAAATCACAAGTTGGCAGACACAGCTCGAGCAAGATAAAACAAGTATCCCCGTGAGTTACACAACCACTGAGGTCCCAAAGTGCTCATGGATGAGCAAACCCAGGCGGCACCTGCTATCAGGGAGAGGAACTGCCGCCCACGGCAGCTGCAGGCCTGCTCCGAGTGACCGATGGGAGAAGTCGGGTCAAAGGCAGGCTGAGCCCCAGGCCGACACTGCCGCAGGAGCAGTTACTGCAGCTGCAAGGGGAACTTGGGGAACGGCAGCCTGCGAAGCAGACAGGTCGGCACAGAACTCAAGGACTCCCCAAACACAGGAGGAGGATGAGGTGTAAGAAAGACCACACCCCAAGTCCAGAAAAGGGAGAGGTCCGTGGGAGTCGGCCTCCGCTCTTACTTTCTGAGGCTGGATCAGTGAGGCTACAGACAGAGGCCCTGCCTGAGGAAGCAGGAGGGACCGGCACAGGGCAGGAGGGCAGCAGGAAGGGCCGGGGGACCCTGAGCGCTCCAGGGGACACTGTGGAGAGGGCTGAGCGCCCCTCCCCCGCTCTCTTTGGAAAGCCCCAGCCCGGGGTCCAAGGCCTGTGCAGGACACAGCGCCCGCGGACTGAGCCTCACGGATGGGGCTGCTCTCTGCACTCCTCGTACACACTCTGGCTTCTCTCATGGAGCGTGGAAGTGTCACCACAAGGTCCTCATCTCAGACGGTCCCTGTTCGGTGGTGCCAGCCCACTGCCTCGCCACACCAAGTGCCTGGGAGCGGTGGCCACCAGGGGCCCAGCCAGGCTGCTCCTTTGGTCCACCCAGCTCCACAAAGTGGCTGCCTTTTCTCAGGGAGGCTGTGAGCATAGAACAGAAAGAAACGAGACTCCTGAGGTTCCCAGTCCTGTCCCTCAAGGATGCATCCAACACTGGACAAAAAAATGACATGCCTGCAGCTCAAAAACACCACATGGTCCTCTCGAGCAAGTGACTAGTACCCATGGACACAAACTCTCACATTTACACACACACACACTAACATGTACACATATGCACTCACACATGTACATGTGTACACACATTCACACATGTACACACCCACCCACACGTACCCAATGCACACTCACATGCATTCAGTACACTTATATGTCCATACCTGCACATGTACTTAACTTACACATGCACTCACATGTCCACAGTACACTCACTGCACTCAGTACACTCACGTCCACACTCACACATGCACTCAGTATACTCACATGTACACACCCATACATGTACTTACACATGTACATATGCACTCACATGTACACTCACACACACACACACACACTCATGTACTTGTGTACACACACACACACAAACTGACCTACTGTGACAGCGGCCATCTCAGCGGCGAGAGCTGAGGCTGGTGACCTTCGCTGGGTGAGTCACAGACCAAAAGTTCCGTCTACTCTGAAGTTTCTGGAAGGCGTTGAAGTTCCTCCTCTTTTCTCTCTTCAATTTTTTAATTTTCTTTTCCTGCATCGAGAATCATAGTGTCACAAGTGTCAAATAGAACAGCGGTGACCCCATTTCGTGAGCATTTATTCCTGGAGTGTCTACTCTGTGCAAAGGCCCTGGTGGCTCAACAGTGGAGCGCTTGGATGCTAACTGTAAGGTCAGTAGTTTGCACCCACCAGCCACCCCACACAGAAAGACTTGGCAGCCCAAAGATTTCAGCTCTGGACACGCTCTGGGATGGGTGTGTGCTCTGGAGTGGGTGTACTCCGTCCTACAGGGGCGCTGTGAGTCAGGATTAACTTGATAGCAGTGGGTTTGGTTTTCGGAACTCTATGCAGGTCCAATCAGATGTGCTACAGGTTTCCACAGACTTAACCTTCGCAGTAACCATATGCAGGAGTGTCCCTTACTGCCTACACTTTGTTGATGAAGGACCTGAAACAGGAGGGTGAGACTTGCTCATGGTCACATGGCTGGTAAGTGGCGGAGGTGGGATCTGAACCCAGACCATTTAGCCTTGGTTTGGTCCTCAATCGTTTTAAAACCCTACAGTACTCCCAAGTGAGTGCTGTTTTCAGTTTCCCTTGCCCTCGGCTGCTCTGAACTCAGACCAGACACCATACCTTCCCTCGATCAAAATCCTCATCCCAGTCGTCAATCACTGTTTCGGTCCGGGCTAGCCTGCTGTCTTCAATAGCATCCCGACTAACAGCAGACATCTCGCCGTCCCAGGTCAAAACTACAAGACAGAACCCATGCTGGGACTTCCAGGGACACCCAGCTACCCGGTGCACTTAATTCAAGGATACAGTTTATGAGGCAGGCTGGCTGCCTCCTGGCAAAGCAGCATCTTTGTGACAACGCACAAGCAAAGGCGAGAGGGGGGCAGCATGCTCGCACGCAGGGGACAGCCAGCCCAGGAACACAGTCTACAGTGCTATGGGCCACAGCAACCCACAGCATTGCTCTGCTGGCCCCGTGAGGCTCCATCTACTCAGACCCCCCACCTGTACATATGTGAGAAGCCCAGATCTCATGCTGCTTTTCTGAGACTGAACTATTAAACTCATGTTCCAAATAAGGACTTCTCGCCCAGGTGCTGGGTGACTGTCCCCACCCAGAGACCCTGAAGCCCTTCCTGGCCCCAGACCACCCCATGGGTATCCATGCTGCTCTCCCTGACCCCTGACCCCAGGGGTACATGTCCTACTCTTCCCATCCTGACCCCAGGGGTACACACCCTACTCTTCCTGCCCCCGACCCCAGGGAGTATCTGTTCTGAGCCCACTGCACTGACAGGACCGCTGGCCAGGGAGCGTGCCCAACTTCGGTGAAGGGGCCGGGCTGGGTACATACGATTCCCCTCCCCTTTCCCCTTAAGGCCCTGCTGCTGCCACCCTCTGTGGTCATACACCAGGGCCCACTGCTTCCATTTCCACCTCCAAACGAAGCCGAGCAACGGAAAAAGATGTCTGGTTTCAGAATCAGCACCTTTTTTCCCATAGGCTTTATCGGAGGAGTATCTGAGCAACTCCTGAACCACGTTGGACTCTCTCTCTGTACTCGAGGATCCACGAGGGACGTGCGTCTGCCCTGCAATCAGAGTGGCCCAGGACATTTGTTTGTTACAACCAAACCAGCCTTTGTTTCTAACGGAACAGAGACCTCACTGACAGCAGACGCCCAACAGGACAGGGTACGACATGTAAGAACAAAAGTGTACCTCCTGGCTCTGACGGGGGTGAGGGCCACTCTGTCACTCAACAGGAGACAATGAGGTCCAAATGACCTCTTAAGAGTATGAGACCAAATAAGAAGTCAACTGCAGCTGGGGCACAGGCACTTGGCTTCCTCCCCCCAGACACAGCCAGAGCATGGGTGCTTGGCTTCCTCTCCCCAGACATGGTTGGGGTACAGGCGCTTGGCTTCCCCAGACATGTTCAGGGCCTGGGCACTTCTCTGCCCTCTGTTCACCAGACCTAACTCAAGACCTCATTCTCTTATTCCAGCTTCTGATGTGTGTCCCACTGGCCCTAAAAGTCAAGGAGAGCCCAGCTGGGGGTACACATGGGTCCCTGGACAGTTGAGACCACAGGGCCCCACAGCAGACTCCATCATCCTCACAAAGGCCTAACAACACACAAGAAGACTGACTTGGAACCCCAACTGCTGCTCTAAGTTCAAGGTCATAGGAAAAATGAGGCTGGAGGCCCAGGGGTCACAGTGACCGGAAGACTTAGACAGGGCAGCCTGGAAGATATGCAGGCACTCCCTGTGTCACACCGCAAAGCTGGCGGGACTGCGTCTTGCCCTCAGGCCCAGTTTTGCTCAACACTTTGGCAGATGACAAGCTGCCACCTGAAGGACAATGGGGCTGCCCAAGGAAGGAAAGCTAGAGGGCAGACGGAAGGGAGACACGGGTCCTCACATCATCAGACGGGCCCTGTCCACTGTGCCCACCCCCTCAGGACATGCCAGTACCTGCTCTGGGCCAGTCTGGTCCCTGGAGCACCACCTAGAGTTAGCACCTACCGTTCACCGACAGCAAGTGATAGCTCAGCTCAGGGACGGGAGAGTCCCTCTGCCTGTTGTTCCTCTGGCCTTTCTGAGGCTGGCTCTCATCCACTTCCTGCTGTGACTCATGCTTCCTCTTCTTCTTCTTCCTCTTCCTCGGAGACCCTGCAGCAGCCTCAGGCTGAGCGTCCTCTGCTGGGGAGCAGCCGCTGTGAGGTCACAGGTGGTGTCAGGCTGCTGGCACACAGACGCACACACACGCATACACACTGCCAGCATGTGGACACACACATGGACAGGCATGCACATGCACACACGCTGCCGGCATGCAGGCACATGTGCACACACACACACACAGCAGCACAAACACAGCCCAGCTGACATCCACTGAGTTAAGGGTGCCCAAGAAATGCCACCCAAATTCAAGTCAGAGGACAAAGCACGCTAGCTGTCACAAACCAGCCAGTGTTTGCTGGGGACAGCAGCCGGGACGCACATGTGGCTGCTCTCCACGGCCAGGGCCACACATGCAAGTGAAAAAGATGGGAATGTGCGACCACGTTAACCCCGACGGAGGTCAGGCCTACACCCCGGATATGCAGCTGCTGTGCCACCCCGTGACAGCAGGCACCAAGTGCCCGCTGTCCCTCCAAGGGCCATACCACTCACACTCATCGCCAGAGGCTTTCTACAAGTCCGGCTGCATGCAGGAGGCTGCAGGCCGCGCTCCCGGCTGTGGAGCCTGACACGACACCCAGGGTTCTTCTGCCACTGGAGGTGCCCACAGCTGCCCTGCCCTGGCTCTCACCTGTGCAAGGCTGGGTCTCGGGGGTGGCCCTCCTCTCCACAGGAGCCCTCCACTCTCTTCCTCCTCTTCTTGCTGCCAATATGGTGGGCATTGGTCACGTGTCCCACCTGCCGCCTGTTCGCCACCTGCTGCCCTCTACCCTCCTCTAATCTGTCCGTGGGCAGATCGACACGGCACCGCTTCGCGACGTGGCTTTGTTCCTGTCCCTGCACTGGCTCTCCCCGCAGAGGGGATACGCCATCCTCTGCACGCTTCCTCTTCCTCCTCTTCTTCCTCATGCGAGGACCGGCAGCTGCACCCCCACCTTGCTGTGAGGCACTCGTCTCTGAGCTTCGTTCCCCCACCTCTCCCGCATGGGGTCTCTTCCTCTTTTTGGAGATGCCCCCGGGGGCCTTGCTGGCCTCCTGCAGCTGGTGTGGAGGGGACGCAGACGCCCCGTTCACCTGAGGCTGGGGAGCAGGAGCTGAGGGCCAGTGCTGTGGTTCCGCCCTCCCGAGGGGCCGGGCGCTAGCAGGCAATGAAGGACACATGGAGCGGGGACTGAAGGGAGGCCCTGGATGGCTGGACGATGCGGGAGCGGGCGTGACAGCCCTGTGAAGACAGTCACGTGTCAGGAGAGGCTGCTCAGAAAGCCCCAGAGAGCCCTCCTGCGGCCTCCCTCAGCCTCCGACCCCTCAGCCCCCTCAGCCCCAAATACGGAACAGGTTTCCTGAAAGCCTCTGGTGTGTTGGGAAAGACGGGCTAACGATAAAATTCAAAGCCTGCTTGAGCAGGTGGGCAGCCCTGATGCTCCAACTTCTACAGCCCTCAGGGTGGGCTGGTACAGGGCACTAGCCCCACACCCTCACTGCCGTGTCCCGCTGGTCGGAGAAGCAGGGCGCAGATCTGCACGGCTGAGTCCCAGCAGTGAGGCAGGGACAGCGCTCAGCCACGTCAGGTGAGTGTCTCTGAGCTACCCTGGGCTACTCGTGACCTCGGGACAGTGAAACCTCCCACCCCGAACCCCAATTTCTCCTTCGTAAGCAGGTCACAACACTGCTCATCTCTTCTCAAAAAGTTCCTAGTCTGAATAGACTCAAGAGGGACATAGGGATGATATGGATGGTATAGCCACACAGCCTGTGCCCATGCTGCCCACGTGGCCTGTGTCCAATGGTGCACTGCTCTCTTTGGGAAATGTTTAAAGACAACTGCACGACAAAGAATGTAAGAAAAACACCCCAAAACATCAAATCCCTCAAACGTCCAGGGCTACTGTGTGCAAAGCATCACACCTAGCAGAGTAGCATGTGTGAGAGGAAGGGGGGCTGTTGGGGAGCACTGGGGGTAGGGCCACACAGCCAGGACCGCCCTGGCGGGGGGCGGGGAGGACAGGAGAGGCTGACACTACAGCCAGCACGGGGTGAGGGCACCTGCACCTGCCAGCACCCCAATTCAGCCCCACCTATGTCATGGCCTCATGCACCTGCCCTTCCTCCTTCCAAGTGGTCAAAGGCTTCGCAAGCCCATCCAACCACCATTTACCAGCCATCAGCCACTTCCTGTGGCCTGAAGCACCTACAGGGTGTCCTTTCATCCACAGCAGTGCCTCGAGCGGCAGGCAGCCCTAGGCCCCAGGCGGCATGGCTGATGCATCTCTCCCCCCAGCACAAAAGTGAACTCCCTGCTCTAGCCGCCAACCCACAGCTGCTGAAGCCAGTGTACAGCGAGCAGCCTGAGGACCCCTCCCCCATACTCAGTAGCCCCCACTCACAGCACGAGCCCAGGAAGCCCGGGAGATCACACTGGACAGTGGCAGGACAGAGTCCGAAAGGAGCTGACAGGCCCCTGTGCTCTCCAAGGGTGTCCTCGCCATCTGTTCCCTACTGCTCTGCGCATGACTGAAGGCTGGGGGACAACCACACAGGCCACTCTCCCCTGTGTGTGTGTGATGGCAGGCTGGGCAGGGACCACACAGGTCCACTCATGCACCAGCGCTGTCACTGCACGGACTTGGAAACCACTGTCAGCTGCCCCGAGTCGATTCCGACTCCCGGCAATAAGACCTTTCAGAAGCAGATCCCCCGCCTGTCCTCCAGACCCCTGGCTAGGTTTGAACCCCCAACCTTCACTAGTAGTCGAGCGCTTAACCAGCTGTGCCACCCAGGGCCATCAGATACAAAAGACAGGCCAAAAATACAACCAGGGCTGTGGAGACCAGAGCCAACCAGCCGAGGCGTCTTCACAGACAACACTGGGAGGAGGAGTGGCTCAGTCCACCATGCCTTCCCAGGCCTTCTCACTCCCTCACGCTCCCCGGGCACACATGTGCTAGCCACGGAGAGACGCAGCAGCCCCGGGCCTGGGCCCGCACCCTCAGCTTACCTGGACTGACTGGCAGGCCCAGTGGCGGCGCAGACAGAGTGAGTGGCTTTCAGGGGGCGGGTGAGGTCGGAGGACGGTGGGTGGGGAGGTGGACGGAGGTCAGTGCCGGTCGCCCTCCGCAGGGTGTGGGCCTGCAGTTATTGACATAAATAAAAACTTGGTGGTCTAAAAAAGGTTTCCGTGAGTGAAGAGGGAAAATGAGTGTAAAGGAAAAAGTTTAAAAAAAAAAAAAGAAAAAAAAAAAAGCTCAGACAAAAGGATGAGTGGACAGAGGAGACAACAAAGGGGTGGTGAGGGCAGGACGGCAGAAGAAGAATCAGAAAAGTGGTTTTGGTTAGAAACGAAAGGAAGAAAGGAAAGAAGTTTAAACAAGCACAGTGTCACGGCGGCACTGCTACCGCGTGACTGTCATGCTCCCCCCAGGCATCTGCCTGGCCCCCACCAGTCCCCCACAATCACAGCCGTGTCCTGGAATGCAGAACCACAATCTCCCTACCACCCGGGACTGTCCCCAGGCCTCCACCAGCCACACAAAGTGCTCCACTGCCACGACTGTTGGCGTTCCCTCCACTCCCCCATCCCAGGATGTCCCTCCTGTGATGCACCAATGACTGAGGACACCTGGGCCCCTCCCCGGCCTTCCCATCCCAGCCGGCTGCCTCTCCCCACACCCACCTTCTTGGCAGCAGACAGGGCCAGTTTTTTGGCTGGTGGAGGAGACATGATGCTTGTGGGCTCAGTGGCAGTGTTGCTCAAGATGGGGGGCATCAGCTTCACCACCTTCGGGTCGTCTCCGTCAGGCAACACTTTGGGGTGGCTACTGGCAGAACAATCTGTCTCCTGAGTGTCACAGAAACGGGTGGCTCCATTCGTGGGGGTCTGGGGGCGCTTGGCACCATCGCTCCCGGCAGAGCGGTCTGGGCTGGAGCTGCTGGAACCCTGTCGCGAGAGGTCGGGGCTCTGGCTGCGCCCCTTTGGCCCCTTTGGCCCATGTCCGTTGGCAGTCACTTGGGCTAGGAGCTTCGGTGAGGTAGAGAGGACGGCGTCCCTGCTGTCCCCAGAGCCCGACCTCCGGTTCTCCGACCTGCTGCTGCTCGTGTCGCTGGTGCCGTGTGGGCCCTGAGTTTTGGGGCACAGGGAGAAGTGCTGCAAGGGAGTGCATTTCTTGGCCTTCTTTCCAGGCTCATCCAGAATGCTCGACACATGTACTGGGGTTTTGGAGAGTCTGGAGGACGGGGACCCCAAGGGCGGCTTCGAAGGAGTGTTCCCGTGCTGGGGCTTCAGGCCGGCCACGAAGCCATTCCGGGAGACGGGCACGCCAAGCTCCTCTGTGCTATGCAGCTTCTTCAGGGCCACAGGGTCCTGTCGCTGAGGGGGAAGAGCACAAAGCGAGATCAGACTCTGAGGACACGTGAGTCAGGTGAGTCCCTCACAAGGTCACAGCACTCAGTGGAGAAGCCCGGACCCTGGCGAGCAATCAGGCCGGACTATTCATGTGGGCACGTGGTGAAGACACCGTCACACCCATCTCTTCAGACAATTTTAGTATGCTAGAGTTGTGTACAAGGGTGTGTGACTATCCTTACTAAGACAGCAGTACCTTCCCACGAAGGTTTAAATCTAAAACATGGTAAAGGAGAAGTGGTTCCCCAAAGCTGCATCACCCAAACAGGACCACTAAACGGGTCACCCAGACGGGACCACGGATCACCATCCCAGTGCTTCTTCCATTTCTCTCTTCTGGTTGGTTCTGACCTGCCTGTGGGCATCCAAGCGGTGCGTTTATACCGTCATCCAGAGCACTTCCGTAGGTTACTCTCCCCGTAAATGGCTTTGTTTGGACAACATTGCATCACAAGGCTGGTTTATGTAGCTCTGATTGCCTTGAAACTAATGCAGCACCTCTTGTAAAGCAGCTCTTCTTCTAACACTTGCTGCCAACTGCATTTAAGGATGTATCTGTCATTAAACACTGGCGGCGGGCCTTCCTGCTTGAATGCCAAGCTCCCAGGAGAGGGGCAGTAACCGGCAGTGCCCCGCACCACCCTGGCAGGCAGCTCAGTGTCTTGCATATGGTGAGTGCACACAACATAGTCACTGAGTGAAGTCAAAGACTGAAATTTCCTCTGACTCTAGTTCCCCATCCACATTTTCTAGAAATGCAATCTACAGGCTATACTTATTTCTAGGACTTCCCACCAAACATGCTGAGCACACTTCCCAATGCCACTGTGAGTCTTGCCAAGCGCCTGCAAGCAGACGCTGCTCTTAGCCCTCGTCACACACCTGTACCCTGGCATGAGAGGTGTTCCATTTTTTATTGGTAGTATTTTCTGTAGAAAAATTTAAAGTTAAATTCTGTTGGTTTATAATTTGCTTGCTTATGTCATCTCTTGATTTTAAGCTCATAAAGTCTTCTCCAGGGGTTTGAAAGAATTCACTTCTATTTTCTTCCAAGTTTTGTCTCTTTTCATCTTCACTTTGAATGCTTTACTCTTAATATTTTTATAAAAAGAACGTTCTATCTTTTCACTGTACCACAAAACCTCTCGTTTGCTGAATGTTTAAGCATATGGAACTCACCCAACTGTATTTAAAGGAACATGCCTCTGGGGTAACTGTGGTGTCTCGGGGAATTACTTCTGTGACTGTCCATGTAACTGGAGCAGCCTGCAGGGGTGCCTGGCCCCTGGACGCACTCCCTGGGGCCTCCTCCTCACCAGGTCTAGGCTGTTGATCATCAACCCTGCACGGAGATGGTGCACCCGAATTGTGACGTCAATTCCAATGCTTTCCACCTCAGCTTTCCTGTTCTTCCTTTTGCAGTAATTTATTGTTTGCTGAGAACATACCCAGAATATGCAGCAATCCAACAGCTTCTACATGGGACCAGGGACACTGAGGACACTCTTGAGTTGCACAGCCATCCTCGCCCGCCTTTGCGAGTTGTTCCTCCCTCATGAACCTGAACTCACTGCCCACTAAGCTTCCTATCTCACCTTCTGAGTTGCTGTCGTCAAGTTGATCCCCTGTGGCCAGACCTGAGAAGAGCCCAGGTCCCAAGGCAGACCTCTACTAGTGAAGCTGGATTACTGCTTGCTTTTAAGGAGACTTCAGGGAAGATTTCTAGTTTAAGGTTTAAAGATGATCTCAGGGTCACAGAGTCAGGCATTCATCCAACTGCTGATGAACCAACATTCGTGCCTCCAGGCAGTGTGGAGTCCATGAAAAACTCGGCTGCATTTCCTCCCTTTTGACCAGGATTCCTGTACAGACCTGACCAAACTGCTCAGCAGTGGTAGTCAGGCACCTCAGCTTCCATTTCCTTAAATGCTGGAAGGGACTGCCCGGACAATCTGGTTGTCTGCAGTGTTAACGGGCCTGAATGTCTGTGTCTGAAGGTAACCCTTTAGGCGAAGGAAGAGGACCACACAGAATCAGATCAAATGGGAGGTTTGACTCTGTTCTTAAATTATAAACTGTATGTAGGAAGGAAACGACTCACACCTTTGGTAGGAATATTCTGATATGGCATTTTTTAGCAGAAAACTTCACACACACACAAAATTAACTTCAAGCCTATTTCCCAAGTAACACTTTACCACATTAGTATTATCACTTTCTCTCTTGATATGTTTATGCACATGTGTACAAATAGGTGTGTGTGTGTGTAAATATAACTCAAAAAGGGATTACGTTACCCTCACCTGATCTCCTCCCTGCCTGTGTACTACGCCCAGACTCGCGTTTGCTGCCGCTGGTAACGCAGTCTCGTGTGCACCACAGTTATGTGCCTCTGTTGTCTCTATCTTTTGCACATGTTTCTGTGATCAAGTGGGGGTAGGCGAACAGGAATGTACCCACAACTAAGGATTGATTTGGCTGCAAATAGCTGCCTTACATATGCATCTGTGCTACAAAAATATCCATATATGTTACAGAAGTAACAAAGGACAAGATTGGAGCAGCTTCTCAGTGACAACCAAACACCTTGAGGGAGTCACCAGGCTTGCAGACTCGGGACCATGGTCTTGGGGGACATCAAGCTCAACTGGTACAACACAGTGCATAAAAATCTCGTTCTATATCCTACATCAGTGAGCAGCAATTGGGGTCTTAAAAAGCTTTCGAGTGGCCATCTAGGATGCAACTATTGGTCTCCTCTTGTCTGGAGCAAAGAAGAGTGAGGAAAATCAAAGTCATTTGGAAACAATTAGTCCAAGGATATGATGGACCACGAGGACCTCAGCCTTCACAACCCTGAGACACAAGAACTAGATGGTGTCCAGCTACCAATACCAACAACTCGGAAAGGGATCAAAACTGGAGATCCTGGATAGAGTGAGAAGAAAAACGTGGAACAAAATCCAAAAACACAGTAATGACCACAATTACTGGTGAGATAGAGACTGGTGGAATCCCTGAGACTATGGCCCTGGGTTATCCTTTGGGCCTGGAACTGGACTCACTTCTGTGGATTAGCTCTCAGCCTAACAACAGAAAGGCCTATGGAAGAACACTTACCCTAGGGAGATGAACCCCTTAAACTGATCAACAGTGAGACATCAGAAGGGCAGCACTCACACAGAGAGAAAGCTGGCCACACAGGGATGCACAGAGCATAAGGGCACAAGGGAGGGGTGCTAACAGGGAGGAGATGGGAGGAGAGCTGTTTATTGTTGGGATTGTCATTGTGCATGAACTGTTGAGAGTAAAACGAAATCTTGTATGTAAATCTGCACCCAAATCACAAAAAATTAAATGGGAAAAAAAAAAAACCAGGATGAAATTGCAGATATGATGTCCCCTTACTCCTAAATCCTTCTGTGTGCATCGCATAAGAACGAGGACTTTCCTTCCTGAACCACAGAATAACGACCAGCATCAGGAAACTGACACTGATACAGACTACCAACATTTTCAGTGTCAAAATGTGAGGACAAAAATGGATAATTTGGAAAACGAAAATGGTTGCACAACTTGAAGGATGTGACCAGTGTCACCAAACTGTACATGCAGAAACTGCTGAATGTTTAGTTGTGTATATTGTCACAGTAACATGCACACAGCGCACACATAAGCACACATCTGCAGACACATGCACAGTCCCACCCACATACATGCACACACACACACATTCTCTCTCTCTCTCTCTCTCTCACACACACACACACACACACACACTTTCTCCCCAGATGTTTAAGGTGAAGCGTCTGCTTGGTACACTTGTCCGTGCATTGCTGAATGGGCTGTTCTCAAGTCCTTCCCTGACCAAGCTGGGCTAACGAGGCGGACATGTGCTTAGGAATTACCGTCTGGCCAGCCAGGCCAGACTTCCTCACTACCGTCCCCTTTCTCTGGTCCCAATGTCAGCTGATGACCAGGTTGCAGCAGGTTATACTGAATGAAACAGTCCAGCCTGCCTGCCCGCCCTCACCATCAAGGCTGGGCTCTCTGCCCAAGGGGATCTGAGCCTGGGACCAAGAGGCTGGCAACATCAACCTGGTCACCTGAGACAAGTACCTTTCCAGTCAGTGGGGAGGAAGCCAGCCCGTTGCTAATGTTCTTCTTGAGGTGGTCTGGACCTGCGCTTGGGCGGCTGGGGAGGGGCGTGGCCCGGGAGATGGAGCCCTCAGGGATCTTCTTGGAGCTGGGAAGCCTGGCAAAGAAAGAGGCAAGTCAGGGGCAAGTGACATTCACAGCCACCAGAGACCCAGAACACGAGCAAGAATGGGAGACGCCCAAGTTAAGGTTACAAGGATGCTCTACAGAAGGGCCCTCAAAACGGACAGAGGCAGAAGAGCCCAAGAGAGCCTGGCTGTCCCAGCACACTTCTCTGGAGCCCCACTCTGCCCTTGAACCAATGGGATCCTGCTGTGTCTCAGAGGTGTGTGCGACAAGCCCAGAGCACGTCGGAGCCCGAGTTCTTCCCAGATCAGATTCTCAGTTTATCAGAGAGCAGAGAGGACCTCTAAGCCCACGCACCCCAAGAAAAGGTGGCTGCCGATCAAGCCCAGGGCAGCTCACGACCCACTGCAGTCTTCTCTCCCGGAGGAAGGCAGGAGGGCTGGTCATCCTCCAGAGGCAACCCCACTAATGTGACAACAGTATGGAACACAAGAAGGTGCTGCCACTCACACTCACAGCAGCACCAGAGGCAGGGCCAATGGACTCCCCATTGGCCTCCCTGGGCTCTGCGCCCACTTAATGGTCACGCAGATTTGCTCTGAAAAACCTCCTTCCTAGGACATGCTCCGTGAGTGGCTGCTGAGAGAACAGCCACAATTTGCTAATGTTACTTCCCAAGGAGTTCTGGCGGTACAGTGGTTAAGGCACTGGGCCGCCAACAAAAAGGTCAGCAGTTCAAGGGTACCAGCTGCTCCATGGGAGAAGATGAGGTATTCAGCTTCTGTAAAGATGTATAGCCTTGAAAACCCTACAGGGGTTGCTGTGAGTCAGAACTGACTCGATGACTCCCCTCCTATGGGATCCACAATCCCTTTCAGATAGAGGAGGAGACCCGCTTAATGTAAGGAACGAACATCTCAGACAGGTGTTCTCACAGGGGCCTATTAGTGCAGGGAATGAACATCATGAGGTGGGTGCTCTCATGTGTGTTGGGGGGGAGGCTCTCATTACCTCAGGTAGAAGAGCACGTAGGCCTGCTGGTTCAGAACCACCTTGATGTTGCTGGAATGAACCAGGGAGTCGTTCATCTGGTACCACTGTCCATTGCTTGCCTGAAGACCACAGGGCGTTATAGGAGACAAAGCAAAACAGTCAGCAGATGTCCTATGACCACTGCATATGTACTGTCACTGGCCACACCCCCTATGCACTAATGAGCTAGCAAGGATTCCCTGCTACAACGTCTAGTATTTGCCTAACTCTGAATGTGACCTCAGAAGAGGAAGACCCCAGTTCCTTCCCAGTTCCCAGGAGACGCAAGCTTTCCTCTGCCACAGGACACCTGGGCAGGTCTGCTCACCACGGCTCTTCCCACCAGGAATACCCCCAGGCCCAGGCCCCCAGCACCAAGGCATCCACCTCTCTAGTCTCCCTGCGAGCCTAAGCACATTACAGGTTCCAGGGGAGTGGTTTTACGACTTCTTTTCACCACACGCACGAGGCAACAATAGGAATAGAATACAATACATCATCGTATCATTGCTACACATAACCATCTCCCTAAATTCAAGTTCTGTCCTCCTGTGTCGAGCCCACAAACCTGTCCCCAGACGGCAGCACACCCACCGCCGTCGAACATGACTGACCCCAAGATGCGGACGACTGACCTTCACATAACAGTAGTAGTGCCCAGCGTGGCAGCTGTAGCCCGAGTGGACCAGGACAGCGTAGAGTCCGTACGTGACTGGCTCACCATTGCTCTGAGACATGTATGGGCGGATATTGAGGAACTCCGGGTAGCCGACATCCTGTGGGAAAAGCCAAGGGAAAGATGGGTGCAGTTTATCACAGGGAAGGGCCAACACGCCCTCTCCACCTACAGCTCCACACAAGGTCTGAGTCCAGGGGTCCGTCGTCACAGTTTGGGGCGATCAGTCCTGCAGGAGGGTGCAGGGGAGGCTTCCCTGAAGAAGCAGGTCTGTTCCCACCAACCTCCAGGAAACTGCCAGTGACTTCCAGTCTCTTCCTGGCTCGACCAGGCTTCGGCCTCAGTTTTCTCACTACCTGGCTCCCAGATGCAAGGTGAGAAGACTGATCCATCTTCTCCCAGCTCTCTGCAGGAGACCAGTGGAGGAGGCAGGAGAGAAGGCTGGCATTGGGGCTTCCAAAAACATAGGCTGGATCCATGTAACCAAACATTGCAGCAAGTTCACTTTTTAGAGGACTGGGTCAGGGTGGCTCTAATGGCGTAGTGCCTAGGCATTTAACTGCTAACCAGAAAGCTGGCGGTTCAAACCCACCGGCCACTCTGTGGAAGGAAGATGGGGCAATCAACTTCCATAAAGATTTACCACCTTGGAAACCCAAAGGGGTCGCTATGAGTCAGAATCGCCTCAACAGCAGTGAGTGAGAGCAAGTGTCACAGAAAAAAACGCCATGCTGAACGTATTCCAGAAATGGACTTTTTGAAGGGAAAAAACCTGTAAAAATCATTATTGGGTGACAGGCCCAATGTGCCCACATGTCTGCCCAGAGACTGTTCACGGAGGTGCAGGTGACACGGAGTTGATATTCGGAGCTTAGTGTGCGCTCCACCACCACCCATCCCCAAGGCTCTCATTTCTGCTGAGTGCAGCCTGCTTTCAACACACACAACAAGCCATAGAGTAGAGCCTTTGGTGTCAGCCCTTCAAGTTGACATACTGCCTGTGAGATTCACCCCCATGTCCTACCTTTCTGGGGACAAACAGAAAGTCCCCAAAGTCAAAACATTCTGGGCTCAAGAGTCCCAATCCCAGCCTCAATTCAAGCACACACAGTCTCCAGCTGTGCCTCACTGGGTCTCCAGGCCCAGATGTTGGTGAAACACAAGCTCCGTAGTGAAGCCACACGGGATCTTACTCACGGCTGGTCCCCCTGCCCAGCACAGTGATGGCCCCGCGAAGCACCCAACAGGAGTAAGCTGAGGGATGTGTGATGCCCCAGACAGCAAAGTTCAGAAAGCTGAGATTCTGGTCTCAGAGATTCAATACGTAAAATGACTGACAAAAACCTGAGAAGACCTGCAGTTTAAAAAAAACAAGTAAAAACTTGAGCTCGGTATTTTCCGGAGCCCAGGGGAGCATGGCGCTCATTTGTCAAAGTGTACATTACATTCCACAGATACCAGTTGGGGAAACTGAGGCCCAGGGAAATGTCCTGCCCAGCTCCCATCACCAGCCCTAGCCATTGTGAAGACAGCCCCAGACTTCTGGGAAAGACGGACTTCTTTTACAAACGCCCTTGGGCGAAACATAGGTTTGCACACCGCATTCCACAAATGCCACCCAGGCCAGAGCACCTGTCTCAGGTCCAACAGGGCAAGGCAGGTGAAGAGCCAGAGCCTAGTGTCCCTCAACATCTGGTCCTAAGGAAGCCTTGCCTCCATGGCAGAAAGATCAGAAGTCCCGTCAACCAGCATGCTCCAGCCGACTGCACATCACCATCACTTAGGGACCTGTCCCCCAGAGAAAGGCAGATTGCCGGGCCTGCCCTCAGATACTCTGACTCACTGGCTCTGGAGTGTAGCCTGGACTCCGCGTTGTAAAAAGCACCCGGGGATCCTGATGGCAGCGGTGGCGGCTGAACAACCGGGAAGTGGCTGGAGCACTCACCTTGGTAATCTTGCCCCCACTGAAGTTGGCAAAGCGCTTGAGGGAAAGGGTCAGGACGCTGGATGCTCTGTGGATGGAGAAGCGCTTGCTGGCTGGAACCTTCTTCTTACACCTGTGAGGAAGGTGGGTGAAAACGGTATGAAGTCAACAATTACTCCAATGCAACGGCGAGAAGACGAGGGCCAGGGAGCCTGGAGCGCTGGAAACAAACCACCAGAAAACAGTGAACAAGAACACAAACACATCTGCAGAACACAACTGGTGCCACCCAGCAACTGAAGAGACAAAAACTGAAACCAGGAACCTCACTGGATGTGGTCCCATTGAACGCTGGTTCACTGAAAACAAGGTAAAACATTTTGAAAAACAAACAATGGCACGAGCTCCTGTGCTGAACCACGCTGCCCTCGTGTGAGGTTAGAGCTGTTCACAACAGCCTACGCTGATGGCCCCTCGTTTAACAGCCCTGCTGGGCACAGCCCTCACACTCGCTGCCTCAGAAAAGAAAGCCGACAGAGGGAACCCAGGCCCAGCGAGAAGCAGAGATACCAAAGCAAAACTAGGGGATCTGCCAACCAGGAGAACAAGTGGAACACGCGGAAGGCTGCTCTGGGGTGACACTCGCAGGCAACAGCGAAGGCAGACGGGAGCAGGTGATCAAACCGACAGGCTGGAAATCAACGTAAGCAAGCTGGGAGACAGGTCACAAGGGCAACTGGGGCGCAGGGGAACGGAAGGCGCGTACTGGGGGAAACGAGCAGTGCCTTGTCAAGGAGAGAACCGTGGAAGGCAGATGAAGTGCACGCTTGCGTGACCACAGCTTCAAAACGACCCAGACAGGACGGGAGGGCTCAGCGCAGGAGACGGACCAGAACCAAACCAGCCGCCCCTGCGCGCGTCAGAGCAGAACTGTGCTCCAGGGCTTTCAGGGCTTGTTTTTCAGAAACGGGTCACAGGTGCCTTTCTTCCCAGGCAGCTATGGGCAGACTCGACCCCCGACCTTCAGTGAGCAGCCAAGTGCCTTCACTTTTGAGCCACCCAGGGATGCTGCAACGAGACCGTGTGGTCGTTCAAAGAAAGGAAGAGTTACAGTAGCTGAAATGGAGCAGCTCTCAAGACAACTCAGAAAAAAGGGTTCACTGCAGAGCATGGGTGCCTCTAAGAGCAGCCGGAGTGGCTCCGGACTATGTGCCCATGTGACCCTGCTTTCCCGGTCCTCTGAAACGGGGATGATACCAGGCCCTCCGCTGCACATGGGGCTCCCTGGAACACATTTAGAGCAAGGACCGGCACAAGGAGGCGCCGCAGAGCGGCAGCGATAAACCAGACGTGCCATTCCCTGTGAGACACACGCACGCTGCTTGCTACTCGAGCAACATGAACAGTGGTTCCCTCGAGGGACCGCAGGGTCAGGTTAGAGACTTAGTTCACAGCCTTCTGCACAGTCTGACCGGCCTGCTGCAAGCAAAATGAGACTTACTTAGCACACATGTAGGCATTCTCTCCACTCAGGACGTCTGGCTTCACAAACAGTTCCAGAGCTCGTACAATATTTGCTGCTTGCTGAGGAGGACAGAAACAAGGAGCAGATCAACAGCAGGAGAAGAAGGCTGGCTCCAGAAAGACCAAATCCAAGGCCATTCTCAGGCCGAGGCAGCAAATCACCAAATTCCACTTATACATAATTTGCTCGCCAGCTGCCACCTCCTGAGACTCAAGCCTCACGACCAGGGGCAGGTTCAGCGGCTGCACGCCCGTCTCTGCTGACAAGAAGCTCCAGCTGCGGGGCTGCATGACGAGAGCCAGCCAGTGACTGTGACCCAGAGTGCAGCTGGTCTGCCCCAGCCCACACACCGTCCACTGAGGCTCAGTGACCCGCCAGCCACAGCAGGCCCAGAGCAGCCACAAAAAGGCGGCTGCCCCCAAAGGTGCTGTCGCCCAAGATCCTGCAGACACAGAGAAATGCCCAAGGCAGGAGACGGCGACCTGTCTCCCGCCCTGCAAGTGCAGTGGGAGTGACAGTCACACCTCAGGACACAAAGCTGCAGTCTCCTTTTTTCCATTCTTTAACAAAATATGCACGGGGAAAAAGCTGAAGAGATATGTCTAAATGGAGAGTGTATCCAAGATCATATTCAGGGTTGGCAGACAATGGGCCTCTCGAAGAGTATGAAGGGATGGACACTGGGAGGAGGTAACTATGGGGAGGAAGTGGGAGGGGAGCTGCTGCATTGTAAATTTTGGTCAATGACATGAGACAAAGTATATGTGAACTGCTGTATGAAAAGTGAATTTACTCTGTAAATCTTCACCCAAATCCTAATTAAAAAAAAAAAAAAAAGCTGAAGAGAACATGTAAGAGGAATGGATGCGTGGTAGGAGCCTCACATGCTTGCAGTTTGGGTACATGCTTTCGCTAGGTCTATAAGAGGAAGGTGTGAATCTATCCAGATCCATGGACAACATCTTTCTCTCCATTGCACTCTCTCCTTCTCTGGTCTCGTTGTCTTGGTCCCGATGCACCCCGCCAGCACCCACCCCATATCCAGGTCCCCAGCACGCCCCGCCAGCACCCACCCCATATCCAGGTCACCAGCACGCCCTGCCAGCGCCCAGCCCGTACCCGGATCTCCAACGCGACGTCCAGGTAGGGGTCGTAGGTGTCTGACACGCTCTTACACATGGAGCACCTCACTGTAACAGAACAAGTATGTGGGTGAGGGGTGGCTGCCCCAACCCTCCCAGACCAGGACTGGCAGCACACAGTCTGCATGGGGTTTTGGCCTGACGCTAAGACACCCACACCAAGAATAATGGCAGCCGGAGAGAGGCCTCGTGCCAGCTGGTGCTCACCGAGACCCCTGGCAAAGCCAGCTGCCCTTACAGCTCCATAGCCACCCAGAGGGGCCTCCCTCATCTCCCTTGTCATGGCCACCGAGCACCCACACAGGGGCCAGGCCACATTCTCTCCATGGGGAACAATGGCTACAAACTGAGAGGGAAGAGTTCCAGAAGAAACCCTGCCACTAACAGTGGCACTGCACGACACTTGTCCCCAGACTTCCCCAGGGGGACCTCATGACCACTGGCAGGGAACTAGGAAGCCAGGCCAAGACTCAGGGACTCGTCTGAGTCCACAGCGCCAGTAATGCAGTTGCCTGTGTGAGAGTTCTCAGGATTTCCCGGTCAATGTTCCAGAACCTGCCAAGAGGGAACAGGGAAAATGCCTCACTCACCACGGGATCGGAGGTAGCCTCCAAAGATCTGATGGACCAAAGTAGTGGCCTGCGTCTGTCGATCCAACCTGAGAAGATGCCACACATCGTGGGGACAATGAGAAGTGAACAATGTCTATGGTCCCTCCCCCAAACTGGGTCCCCGCTCAGCCTGACGGTGCAAAGGGGAATTGCACGAGCATCCACAGTGCCCCCACCCACTGCCCAACAGGCTCTCTGCTCCTCAGCAGCCCCCACCCACTATCCGACGGGCTCTCTGCACGGCTCTCACCTGCCCTGCCCCCTGCCCGGAAGGCCCTCTGCATGGCTCTCACCTGCCCCACCCACAGAGCACACTGGCGGGGCCACAACACTATCACTGACCCAGTCCTCTCTCATTTCCACAACACCTCATTTCCCACCTTGGAAATAACGTGAAATAACACACTGCCCCAGCGTTCTGGGGACCAACACCAGGTCCCAGATTTTAATTTTTTAAAGTTAGGAAACAAAGAAACCTGTTACTGCCGCCTGTGATCACCACCATTTCACTAGAAGACAAAGCATTTTAACACTGAAAAACGACAAAGCAAAATCACATGGCAGACTCCAAAGTCCCAGGCTGCTATGGACAGTGCTGGCTGCCGGAATCTAACCACCAAGTGCCCAGAAGCCATTCAGAACCTCAAAGAACCCACTCTCAGGAACCAGAGCAGGAGACCACAAACTTCCAGGTACCGGGGGGCCAACTCACTGCCATTGAGTCGATTCCAACTCATAGCAACCCCTCCTTGGGTTTCTGAAGTGGTATCTCTACAGAAGTAGAGTACTCAGTCTTCCTTCTGAGGAGTGGCTGGTGGATTTGAACGGCCACCCTTCTGGTTAGCAGTCAAAGGCCATAGGCACTGCGCCATCAGAACTCCAGGTACCAGTGACAGGAAAAGGAAGCCAGACTCCAGAGAGCCCCCTTCTGCTCCCATCCGAGGCCTGGTGGACAGCAGGGGCCAAGGGAGCCAGAGGAGCCCTGGAGCAGCCAGGGTCACTGCTACCAGGAAGAGGCCAGCAGGCACCAGGCTCCAAAGGCTTCTAGGCACTGAATATGGGGGCTGTGAGGGCACACAGTCGAGGTGGCAGTCCCCCAACACAGAGACACAGGGGAGAAGGCAGTGAGGACGGAAAGGAGATCAGGCAGTGGAGGGTAACCGAGACAAAAGGGAGAAACAGAGGGTCCTGAAGGAAGAAGAAAGCCGGGTGGCCCCATCGATCCTCTGCAAGGAAAACGCTGCACTGCACTGAGCTGACACAGGAGGCGCCCTATGACAGGCCACCAGGGACAGAAAGCAGCAGCCCACCTCTGCACGAAGGGCCTGAGGAAGAAGACAGGAGACAAGTTACCCCAAAAAGCAACCGCCAAGCCAAAGGCAGGGGTGACACTACATTCCAAGCAGAACCAAACATTCTCAAGTGAGCATATGGAATTCGAAAAACCAACCTCCACAAGCAACTTACAAACTATGAAGATTAAAAGGAAAAAGTTAAACAGAAAAGAAATGGAAGAGACAAATCATTTCAGAAACGAAGGAATTATCAGGTGCCAAGAGAATGGAGGAATCCAACGAAACTTTCACAGACAGGAAGCTTAGTGGGCAATGAGCTCAAGTTCACGGCAGAGGAACTACTTGGAAAAAGAGGGGAGCATGGACCAGAGGGACTGAAGCAGCGCCTTCAGGCAGTACGCGTCGACGGAAGCAGCACTGCTGGGTGGTGTGCGTTGGACGGAAGCAGTGCTGCGGGGCCACCCGCGTTGGACAGAAGCAGCGTCACTGGGTCACTGAGGTGCACAAGAAAAGATCATTGAACTGGAACCTGCTTTGTTGTGTGTATTCTTGACAACAACAAAATGAAAAGGAATTCTTTAAAAACAAAAGGGCAAACTTAATAAAACCACCAAGACAATGAAAACGAGACAGAAAGAACAGTGAGAAAGGAGCTGCAACAGAGAACAGCCAGAAACCTGTACCTGAAAAAGCAAAAACAATATTCCAATAAAATATGAAACCCTAATCCAAGAAAACTTTCCAGTAACTACAAAGAGGACTTGAAAACAAAACCAACACCAGTGTGTCCCCGGAAAAGACCACACCCCGGCACCAAGGACATCAGCCGTGTCCCTCTCAGAAAGGACACCCAAGTCTGCTAACACGTCACATCAACCTGCTCTCGACGTCTGAAGCAGAGCTCGCTGAAAAGCAGCACTGCTGCCAGGGCCTGTGGAAGCTTTACTCCTGCACTGGGAAGAACGTGCTGCTGTCTGTGTGTTCCCAGAGTCAGTCTGTGCCAGACCCCACTAACTGGTGTTGCTTAAGGAACAGGGGGCCCAGCCTGAATGGACATGTTCGAAGAGCCTGCCAGGTCACTAGGAAAATCAGCCTGCAATGGTCCCTGAGTCATGGCCAAGTAAGATGGCTGGGCTTTTCAGACTCGAGAGAAAGAAATCCTCAAGGCCTCTCAGCAGAACCATGTGAAGGTCAGGAGCCCAGCCCCGCAGGCTCGTGAGGCCCAGGACGTCCCGGGAGCACTCGCCCTCTTTGAGGCATCTGTCCGAGGACGGGCTTCACCTCAGCACAGGAGACGAGCCCCAGCAGCAGCCAAGGACAAGCACGAACCACCCCCATAGCAGAGCTAAGACCAAGGCAGGAGGCGGGCCGAATGCGGAGGAACAGCACAGCAATCCTCTCTGCTCCACCAGGAAGTACTACAACTAGAAACTCCAAGACAGGGAGAGAGCTACCATCAGAAACGGACAAGTCGGACAGCAGGGTTAACAGAACAAGGACAAGAACTCGCCCACAGGCAGCTACCAGAACAAACTTTAACACCAAAGGGCATTTCAAAACCAAGCAGAGAAAAATCAGAGACAAGAACACAGCAAATACATTAACGTGAAAATGGAAAGTACGACGCACGACAGAGCCAAGCCCCAGCCCAATCACAACCAGTGGACGTGGATGGGCTTAAACTCCTCAACAGGAACGTCCCTGTAGGCCTCCCAGCTCTTTCAAAGAGATGCTGTAACTCTCACCACCTCCTCGTCCTTGCCAGTCCAGCTGGGTTCAAGAGACTATGAATTGAAACGCCAGCAAAATAACGCTGTGGTAATGGGGGAACCCGTGCGACGCTGACCATCCCGAGACACACACTCGGGCATTTTCGCTCCACTGGGCTGCTGACACGGAGCTGCCCTTGGGACGGGAACCAACAGCCCAAGGCAAGAGAGTGCAGTGGGATCACTTACAGACCCTTACATGGCTTCCAAGGCCAGGTCCTGGTGACCAGCAGCCAGGTCCACAGCAGGGAAGCCCAGGCAGAGGGCTGGCCGTGCTGCTGCCTTCCCCAGCCCCCAGGTGCGTACTTGGCATAGCCGTTCAAGCAGGCCTTCTGCATGGCGTCGATGGTGTACCGGAGAAACTCGTGAGCATCCTCTTGGTTCCCAAAGCGGAAATGCCGGGCAATTTCTACGAAAGGAAGAGAAGGTGCATCAGATGGGTAGGGAGGGCTCGGCGTTACCTGACAACCACCCACTCTGATCTTCCTCTCCGTTCCCCCGGGTGGGAAAGGCTTACGTCCACCACGGGTCAGCCACGTGGGTCTTTTTCTCATAGACTGAAGGGCTTTAAGGCTACAGAGCATCAAGCCATTAAACCAAATAAAAACAAAACCCACTGTCCAGTTAACTGCAACCCTGTAAGACAGAGTAGAACTGCCCTAGAGAGTTTCCAAGGCTGTTAACCTTATGGAAGAAGACGGCTTCATCTTTCTCCCGTGGACTGGCGGGTAGGTTTGAACTGCTGACCTTTTGGTTGGCAGCTGAGTACTTGACCACAAGCCATTAGGAAGGCAAGATCCACTGATTAGTTTTCCAAGTAGCCAACGAAGAACACAGACAGGCTGTAATTACACCACTGGGCTGTAATTTACACAGGTTTCTGAAGCCAGCTGACTTCAGCCTCTGCCAAGTGGACCAGGCCCTGACAACATGGCATCTGGCAATGCCCCTGATGTCCAAGGACCCACCGCCCCCTTATCCACAACAAGCTGCCTGCCTAACACATACAGCAGCCCTTCAAATCCAAGGTCCTGTCCTGCCCCCCGCCCCATGACTCCCACCCATGTGGGACTCTATTATTTCTTCAGTCTGCAAATGGAGACATGGGTGTGACATGACAGGAAGACAAGGTCCTCCACAACAGGATTCCTAAGACACCATTCATGTACCCACCCCGCACCGACCTGCCACCACCCAAGGCCGAGCTGGATGACTTACTTTTCAGGTCACGGATGAAGGAGACCGGCTTGATGGCATTGCCACTGTTGGCGAAAGCCTGCACAATGTGGTTCTGCATGACGCACAGCATGCAGAAGCTGCCCTGGTGACCTGTGGGGGGGGCAACATGTGCTTTCAAGAGAGCTGATGGCAATGTCCCTGCCCCAGCAGGACAGGGAGAGGGACAGAGACGCTTGGGGGGCACACTCGCCCAACAGGAGTAACAGAGACGCTCAGGGGGCACACCCGTCCCACAGGAGGAGAGACGGAGGCACTCGGGGGGCACAGCCGTCCAACAGGGAGAGGGACAGACGCTCAGGGGGCACACTCGTCTGGTGGAGAGAAACGGAAATTCTTGGGGCGCACACTTGTCCGGTGGCGAGGAACGTGATTGTCAGCTGCCGTCAACCCCCTCTGAGCCCCGTGTGTGTCAGAGTAGAACTGGGCTCCATCAGGTTCTCATCGGCTGTCCCCAAGAGTCTGCAAGGCCTTTTTCTGAGGCACCTCAGTGGACTGGAACCACCAACCTTTCTGTTAGCAGCAGAGCATGTGACAGTTTGCACCCCCAGGGGTGCCAGCATATCGTCTGGATGGGACCAGCACACTCAAGATCAGTGGACCATGGGGTCAGGAGGCTAGACCACTTCAGGGTTTCCTGCTACCCCTCCATTTGCTCCTCCAGTGTGAGAGCCTCCACCCCACTGAGTCTGGCAGCACCTTGCTGACAAAGGCTTTCCATAAACAATTCAGGCTGTGCAGGTTGTATGGTCCCACAACCACGCACTTGGCCACCACAGGTGATCAGAAAACACATGGGCTGCTATGTTCCAACAAAGCCTTCTTCACAGACAGGCCACCAAGCCCTGCTGTGAGTGATGTCACTTGCTCCTCTCTGGGCATCAGGCTAGACGGCAGGACGTTCACAGCTTTTAAAAAATTATGAACTATTTTAAAGGACAAAGGGTACACCACCACTCAGTTGTACTCAATTTTAGGTAATTTGAAAAACTGAAACACGAGTGCAAAAGTCGAACCCCCCAATATGGCAGCATTGAGGATGAGAAAGACAGAGAGAGTTACATGGGCAGTACAAACAACAAATATGAACCCCTTTGTAAATACAATACTGAGTTGTTAATGAAAGCAAACATGGGTATAGGGACGGATAGATGGGTGAACAAGCTAAACAATTATGTATGTCTAAATGGAGAGTGTATCCAAGATCATATACAGGGTTGGCAGACAATGGGCCTCTCGAAGAGTATGAAGGGATGGACACTGGGAGGAGGTAACTATGGGGAGGAAGTGGGAGGGGAGCTGCTGCATTGTAAATTTTGGTCAATGACATGAGACAAAGTATATGTGAACTGCTGTATGAAAAGTGAATTTACTCTGTAAATCTTCACTCAAATCCTTAAAAAAAAAAAAAAAGTCGAACCCCTCTGACTCGGACACCCAGGTTCTCCCTGGCAGTGACCCGATCCTGGATAGGGCTAGCCTCACTCCCGTTTCCACACAACGCAGTACAGCGTCCAGCACTGGGGCCTTGCTTAACAGTTTCCTTTCCATAAATTATGCATACGGTCTGTGTCACCCAGCAACATGCTCTTTCAACCCACATTGCCAGATGGGACCCCAAGTCATTCTCTCTCACTGCTTGAGTGTCTCCAGGATGACAGACCCTGGATGAGGGACCTGTCCCTAACGGGGCACATTCAGACCCTGCCTGTCTCGTGCTGCTAACCAAAAGGTTGGAGGTTCAAACCCCACAGCCGCTCTTCAGGAGGAAGATGAAACAGTCTGTTTCCATAAAGACTGATAGCCTTGGAAACCATATGGGCCAACTACTCGGTCCTACAGGGTCACCATAAGTTGGAATTGACTCAATGCCTTGGGTTTTCTGGTAGACACATCTCACAGTCAGTAACGGAACACCGTGTAGCCTGTTTACCACATGTGCATAACACTGCTAGTATTCACACAGATTCTTCCTGGACGGGTATCAAAAAGCCGTTCACATGACATTCATGTCAGAAAGGGGGGCTTTTTGTTGTTCGTTTCAGACCTCTCTAAGCACACCCTGTGTCAACTTTCATATTTTAAATGACAACAGTGTTTATGAAGGGGCTCAGCATTAGGCAAAAACCCGATCCCTGTTAAAATAACACACAAATCTGCCTGCTGGGAAACCACCAAGCTGAGCTCCCGTTTTTCTGACACGTTTGACCCCTGCTGACCACGTGCTAGTAGAGTTGAGGGGATCGACCTGCTGACCACTGGGGGACGCACTGTTGCGCTGTGGCCCTGAGCCTTCAGCGGCACTCCGGCAGGGAGCCCCGAGTCCGGCAGAGCTCCTCAACACAAGACCCCCGAGGCTCTGGAAGCACGCAAGGGGAACGGCGGGGCAGCTGGACCACACTTTATTCATGTAATTCAGAAAAACAGAACTCACCCACGAAGCCCAAGATGTTATGAATGTTCCTACTTCTCTAAGGAAGTGCAATAATTGAGCTGACTTCAAGAAAAACACAACCGAATGAAACCTGGGCACAAGGTAGAGCGGGACCCACAGAGCTGAACACGCCGGCACCGCCCTGTCCTCCCAGGTCTCCTGAGTTCTCCGCTTTGAGAGACGCGGTCTCACCATCTCCCTTCAGCTCTCTATTAGCAGAAAATATTTGCATTTCCCTCCTGACAGGTTTCCGCCTTAACACAGGTTCACTCTTTCACAGGTTTTTACCAACTAAAGAACAGGACTGAATTCTGTGATCCTTTGACTTTCACACCAAGTGTCTGTTTTAGCCAAATACTAGTGGCCAGAAGTGGTCTAGTACTTGGCAGGAGCTGGTGCTCTGAGTCACAGAACAGCAGAGCCTTGTCATGCTAAGGGGTCCGTCTCAAGGCCCTTGAGCACCTCCAAACCACGTACCCCAGGACCAGGAGAGGATGATGCAAGCCCCCGAGGGGCACTAGGAGAGCAGGGGGGGCTCACAGGGACAAAATACCAAAGCTGCTTTTCACAGGGCTGATTGGGGAAGTGGACCTGAGGCTCACTGATATTTCCTAGACTCACCCTGGCCCCAGGGACAGAGACATCCTAAGGGAAGGGAGGCGTGCCACCTGGAGAGGGTGGAAGTCACGTCTACTTACAGGTGCCAGGTTACGCAGCTTTACAGGTGGCATCAGCTTTAACCAAACAAACCCTCATGTGCTGACCAACGGCTCAACACAAACCCCATGGAGAAAGCAAGAGTGGGGGTGGGACGTTCTGCCACGAAAGCAGAGCAGACAGACCTACACCACAGTCAGCAGGGAAACCATCACCTCTCAAATGTGACCACAGGGCCCTCCAAACGACCACAGTGAGGCTTGGGGCAGGGACTCTCAGTCACCTTCACCTTAACAGAGAGCTGCTGCAGGAAGCCGTCACACCAGCAAGACATGGAAATCTCACTCCCTCCATCTTTTCTGTGGTGCAGGACAACCATGTGGTTTTTTGTTTTTTTTTTTTAATTGAATGACTATCCCTGAACATGCCCTACAATCTGAAACGTCATCACAACAAAGAGCCACCCAAATACCCCCATCCTCCCCATTTACCCCCATCTGCTCGGACTTTTTGTTTACAATTTTTTGCTCATTCTCTTTCTCCTTTTTTCATTTTACCACAGATTTGTGAATACAAAACGGTCCTGCCTGCATCTCAGCTTTATGAACAGGAAGGCAGGCTGCGTGCGGTCTTCTGGGGTGTTTCTGCCTCACTCGATGCTCTAAGATCCACTTCTTTACCAGAAGCCACAGATGGACTTGGCTCTTCTGCCGGCCCTGTGTTGGCCAACGTGACCAGGCCACCAGCCACGAAGCCATACTTCTGCAGATAAAGCATTTGGTGGCTTAGGTTTCTGCCCAACACTTTTTATGGGGGTTTCCTGGTCTCCACAAGTAAGAGCTCTCCTGGGGGAGCAGGGCTGTCAAGTAATAGGTTATGTGAAGGCAAACCCCAAACTGTTCCCCAGAGCAGCCCAGGAGCATAGGGGAACCTCATGGTCTGCACGCTGCACCATTGGCTGAATTTTTACCCACCACCAAGGTGTGAGCACCCCACTGTGGCTCAGACTGCACGTCCCTCACGACGAGTGAGGCTGACCAAGCCTCTCCAGGTGCCAATGACCGGGAGTGTCATCCTCGGAAAAACACCTGTTCAAAATTTGTAGTTTCTTCTGCAGCCACTTCTCTTGTCCTTGTTGACTCACTGTCTTCAGATGACCTCAGTACTATTCCTTTGCTGTTTGGATGTCACAGATACCAACCACTCCGTGTTTGTAGGTGATCTTTTAATTTTCAATGTTTCTATAAACAAGTGTTCTTAACTTGAATGCAGTGGAATTTATTGTTTTTTTCCTTTATGGTTACCACTCTCCACATCTTCAGAAATGCCCAACCCCAGGTCAGGAAGACAGATACCTGGACCTCTCATAAAGGCTTTGTTTCACTTTTGAGATTCAGGTTTTAATCCATGTGAGGGTGATTTTTGTGTCTGCCATGAAATGGGAACCCACTTTCATTATTTTTTTTCTGTAAAAAACAACAAAATTTGTAAAGTTCCATTTATTTAAAATGGCAGAGGCACATATATGGGAGAAATTATGAAGAAGCACATTTCCCAACACATGTGGCTCATTTCCCGGCTCTCCACAAGTTTACTGGCCACTAGCCTCTCCATAGCCCAGCGCTACCCCATCTCAACGTCTGTAACCACACACGGCGTCCTTCAGTTAGGAGCACGCGCCTTCTTGGCCTGTCTCAGGAGCCTCTCGGCTATGTCCGGTCCACTGCTTTTTAGTTAAAAGCACAGGCCTTCTTGTCCTCTGAAGCTTCTCGGCTATGTCCGGTCCACTGCTTTTCAGTAGGAACACATGACCTTCTTGCCCTCAGAAGCTTCTCGGCTGTATCTGGTCCACTGCTTTTCAGTTAGCAGCACAAGACCTTCTTGTCCTCAGAACCCTCTCGGCTATGCCCCATCCACTATTTTTCTTTTCCACATAACATTTAGAACCTACTGGAGCTACATCAACCCACACAACGATTTGCGGAAACAGGACATTTTTATA